CTCAGTGAAGGGAACACTATCTTGGTGCCTTGAGTTTTTTTTAGGGAGCACAGACGCAAGATTAATGTTAATGGAAATTGTTTTTTTCTTGCCTTCAATGAGATGGGTGCATGTTTTATTTTAAGATTGTTTTATGCATTTTTTTGTCTTACAGGGACTGTAAGATTTTTAAAAGGGGTGAATGTGAGCGGGTGAATGGATTATTTTGTATTATTTTATTTGTTGCGAATCTGGGAGTACATGGTGGTCCAATGGGGAACAGCACGGGGTCCCCCTTCCGTCCGAAGCGGTCAGTATAAATTGACCGCTCGGAGTGATTTTCTTCCTTTTTTTGACCCGCGGCGAGATGTAGGTCGGGTCAGGTTTCTGCGTGGCGCACCGCACGCGTGGAGGTATTTGTTTTTTTATACTTTATTTTTATGTGATTTGTATGAATGCGACTGCCGATGTGTTCTCGTTTGATTTCTTTTTCGTCTAAAACGAGATAGTGAGCATCGGCATGTCTGGTATGCACGTGGTGTGTTATTTTGAGAGATTTTAAATTTGTATTTTCTAAACCCGTGGCGTGTGTTTCGGACCACGTGGTTTAGGTCAGTGTGTTTAGGAGTGTTTCCTAAACTGGTGTGAATGCGTGTGTGCATTTACTTGATTGTTTTATGATGTGTTGTTATTGACTAGGATTGGATTAGTCAATAGTCAGTTGTTTTAGACAGTAATTAGATTAGTATATTTTAGTTGCCTCGAGTTTTAGGTTGTTTAAAATTAATGTGTGTGCTGTTTCGTGCAACGTCATGTTGAGTATCGCTTGCTTTGTGTCTGCTTCATTGGGGCCTTAGCGGAGTGTGTTAACTTTAATGTTATCAATATGGATATTGTTTATGTAGACCAATGGCTTCGGGCTGCTCCTTGTGTAGGAAAGATTGGTTCTACAATGAATTTGTTTACACGTTATTTTTAAGTTGCTAGTTCTTGGTTAGACAGTGGTTAGTTGTTTTTGAGAATTGCTTTTAGAATTGTATAGTAAGGATTAGTTTTACTCGAGGCTTTAGCTAGATAGTAGTAGTAGGTAGCATTTTGAACTTGTGTATATATTTATGTATATATCTGCCATTACCATGCATTTTTCTTATGTTTTCCTTTTCTTTTTCTCTTCCCCCCCCCCTTCCAGTGAGGTTGCTTGGGCAACTTGGCTGGGTGTTTTGTTATATATGAATTGTTTTGTTTGGTGTAAAAAGTTTGTTGTGTACGTATTGTTTTCTACGTCATGTATTGTACGTAATGTATTGTACGTAGTGGTTTTACGTAGTGTTTTGTTTGGTGTGGACTTTTGGATGTCGAGAATGGATGAAGGGAGGTTTCTGTGTGTCAGGGCCTGGACCATCCTAGACATCATAAGTCGGCGCAACACCAGCAAATGGTCAAACGTAATGTTTTGTTTGATGTAAAAAGTTTGTTTCGTTTGGTTCTGTTTTGTGTCAGTTTTTTATCTATTCTTTTTTTATAACTTTTGGTTCCATGCAATAAATTTTATTAAATTGTTAAAAGTTTTTGTTTTATTTTAGTAGCTTATTATTTAGACTAAGGTTAGGGTTTAACCACTGTGGGTTCTACCACGGTTGCACTGACCGGACAGATTAGTTAGTTAAGCCTAGAAGGGTAGATTTTAAGGTATCCCCCCCGAGCAGGGCTTACAAATTGATATATATATATATATATATATATATATACATATATATAATGCTGGAAACAATTTGAACTAACCCCATGAGACGATCTTGGCTACGCCACTGGTGGAATATTATTAGTACTTTATTAATTCACATACATTTTTGAGAAATTGGAAATGACGTAAACTATTAATTCCGTTCAACGGAAATTACTCAACAGGCAAAGAATTAGATTTTTTTACGTACTTGTGAAATTTCGTTTATCTATCTGAAACAGTACACAAGGTTTAGGCTTTTAAAAAGCTGAAAGTAGAATAAGTTCAATTTCCGGTTATCGGAAATCGCTGAAAAGTTGATACAGAATTTTACATTTAATATATTACTTATACATGAATTTTTATCAACCTAGCTGTAACGGTACTCAATTTATCGTGTTTACAGACACACAGACATACACAAACACACACACACATACACACACGGCCATATGGACAAACTAGGGAAACTATGTTTTTCCGACTCAAGTAGGTGTAAAACGTCGAGATCTGTGATTTTTTTTTGCACGATTACAATATTTATTATTTCCTCTATATTTCGTAAGAGAGTAAAAATTCATAGAAAAACGTTTTAATCACAAGCTTTTAAGTAATAATGCACTAAAATGTAGAAAATAAATTATACACTAGTATTTAAATAACTATAAATAAAGCGTGGGTCAATTTAGTATCTATTGGATACCTTACTAATATTTACCAATAGTAACAATACGGATTTGAGATATTTCTCCCCCCCCCCTTCTCCAGTCAATTAATTAATCCCCCACACCATCACCAACAGGTCAATAAACACCTCCACCCCCCCCCCCCCCATGCTAATTATTTTTCTATAGAGGGTTCACATTACACAAGTTACTTGCACGGTCTAACCTTAATCTAACCCTATCCTTAGCTCTAATGGTAAACTTTACACATTGCAATACTGTTAGGGTTTGGATTGGAGGAGGGGGGGGGGGGGTAATGGGGGGGTGGAGGAAATCTTGACATCACATCATCTGGTGCTATTGTTTACTTGTCTCTATGATTTCTAATGATTATTCCAAGTAGGATTTTTTTAGAAATGTTCTTTGTTTTCTTTTATCTTTCTGTCGATTACACAAAGGTAGATCGCATTTTTCTTTTTTTTTTCATTCTCTTTAGTCAAATTGCATGAGTTCTGTAGATCTTAATTTCCTCATTGATTCGGACTCGTTTTTTATCCCAAGTTTGCGAAGATTTTAAAATTTCGGTATCACTGATAAATACTAAAAGAGCCGAATTAAAGAAATGTTAAGTGCGTATTATCTCTCCTTCTAAATCACCATCAGTTGAGAATTTATTTCACCATCTAAGAAAACAGGCGAACTTCAGTTTATTTATTACTAAACCTGTTATTTTCACATTTAGATCTAGACTTACTTAAACAAACAAATTTCTCTGAGTGAACCTAAATACTTTATTCTTATATACATACAGCTCAGGCTATACGTCTTGTCTCTGACTCTACCTTTCGTTAACTGACGCATCAGTTAATGTACGCATCAATTACACATCACAGTGAACACTCAAGGGAGGTAACCGTGATATGCATAGTACAAGGGACGTAACAATCACTACAAGACATAATGTAACAGCTCAAACCAGTTTAAACGATAATTAAGCAACATAACCAACAAGACCAATATAGCCCAACCAAGCAGACCGCAGCCCAACCAACCGGACCGTAACCCAACCAACCGGACCGTAGCCCAACCAACCGGACCGTAGCCCAACCAACCGGACCGTAGCCTAAACTAACCCTCCATAGCCCGACTATCTCGCACAACCGACCACAACTTAGCCTATCTTTTGAAAACTTAGTTATCCCTAGCTCTATTCTGCTCATCCCAGCCAATATTAGCTTTCTCGTATATAAAAAGTATAGAGAAAGACTAGTAATCGTGCCCAAAAAAAATCGAGATTTTTGCAAATCTCGACGTTTTACACCTCCCTGAGTCAGTTAAACATAGTTTTGCAATCTTGTCCGTATGTCTGTGTATGTGTTTCTGTTTATGTGTGTCTGTTAACACGATAACTTGAATATCGTTACAACTAGGTTGATGAAATTTCATATGTATTATATCAAAATACGTAATTTTTTAGCGTTATTCGTTAACCGGAATTGGACCTTTTTCTACTTTCAACTTTTCTAAAGCCTATAACTTCAGTACTATTTGAGATAGAATAATAAAAATTTACATGTGAGTAAAATATCTAATTCTCCGCCTTCTTTCACAAGTTGATTAATTTCCGTTGACCGGAAGTAGTGATTTTTCTTATTTCTGATTTCTCAATAAACGCATGTGAATTTATAAATTACTAATAATATTTTGCACTATTAAACACATTTTGTTTTGCGTTCACTTTGTGTGCATTTTTTTCTACGAGATTCTTTTCTTTTAAAAAGTTTTAGAAATTAAAAAAAAAAGATTAAAACTTATGTCTATATCCCGAGTTGCCACCCCCCGTTGTATTATAGAAGGATATTTGAGAAAGTTTAGGGGAGATCACTCCCGGTTTATTTCGTTTTGATAAACGCGAAATGAAGTGATCAAGCGAGAAACAATATTTATTTATCTTTTTTATTCATGAATAGTAAGTAATGAATAAAACAATATTTTTTGCCTAAAAAAAGCCTAAAATAAAAATAATCGGAGAGAAAAATTAAAACACATCTCCGTGTAAAACAGTAAAAGCAACAATGATTGAATTCTACTTTGTTCAGCGCCCGCAGAATTGTGTGCATCTTTAGTTTGAAGTGTATCAAAAAAAATATATAGAGTAGAGTTTTAAAATATTTTATACTAGGAAAAACGTGTTTCTATGATTTAAAAAATAAACGCGTCAAATATTTTAAATAACGAGGTTGGGCCATCAGCTATGTTCGGCTTCGATCTAGGTACTTGTTGTAGGCGCTGTGGGGGGAACGTTAGATGGATCGTCCGACATAACAATTAAAAACGTAGAACAATAAAATAATTTTTAAAAATATAATAAATCTGTGTTTAGTTTATATGTAAAAAATTACTTTAAGAATAAAACAGATCGTCCTGCTTCAGCTGAATCTCCGTGACCACTGCCCAAGTATTCAGACAGGCTGGATTTTAAAATCTAATCTAATTTACCACCTGAAATTATACCCCCCCACCCCCGACATTACCCTCAACTTTCGGAACTATTACCCCCTTGTCAATTATCCCCTGGGTAACTACCTCCCCCCCCCCCCCCTCTCCCATAGTTCAAGAATCATGACCCTAAACCTAACCCCAAACTCCAAGCCGATAATTAAAGCTAACCCTAAACCAAAACCCAAACACGACCCCCCCCCCCCTCAATTCAAGCCCTATACCTTATTCTTACAACAACCTTAAGAAAAAGCCTAAACTAAGTATTTACCTCAGACTAAACATAAATCCAACCCTAGACTTTAGTTTAAGCCTAACCCTAACGCTAGCTCTAACACAAGCCGTAACCTTTTCTGATTTCTCAACACTCCCTAACTGTACCTTAAGCTATGAACTGGGGGGTGTCCAATAGAACAAGAGGGTATTGTCAGGGGGGTATCTGGAGGTAACTGACAGGAGGTAATGCCCTGTTCCCATATTGAGGTCCATACAATTGAGCTAGGCATTTTCTTTCATGCCGGCAATTATCGTCGGGACAGCCCTAGGCACAGCTGCTTGAAAACTTATAAAACTTCCTTCTGATCTTGTACGATGACTAACGACTCCAACGAGGTAGTAGCGTCCATTCTTCAAGCAGCTCAATGGACCTCCTGAGTCTCCGGAAAAGGTGCCGGCGTACTCTCCAGTAGGGAACTCCACAGACTGTACACAATAATAAAACCCTCTATTTCTTAAGTATCCCTTAAATGTTTGGGCAGCCTGGCATACGGTTTGGTTGATTATCCTGCTCCGAATTTGCTGCAGCGTGTCGGGAATTATATACTTCTCCATAGATGTGATCCCCCAGCCTGTGGCAAAACAAGGCGTGGTATCCCAAACATTGTCTTCAGGCAAACAAATCGGCTGCACGGAGTCTGAAAAATTTAACGGTGAAGAGAGTTTGTAAACGGCGATGTCGCTAGACGGGTAGGTGAAATATTTGACAGCCCGGATCATTTTACTCTTTTTAAAACTGATGTTTCCATAGTAGATTGAAGCAACATTTTGTTTAGCACAGTGTTTTGCCGTCACGACCCATTCACGATTTATGATAGATCCTCCACACATGTGTGAGCTACCGATCAACTTGATCTGCCAGGGCCAAGCGTTGGCTGGAGCATCTTGACCCTTGACGATCTGCTTTGATTGGTCGTTTTTAGACACGCCACAGTCGCCTTGATTTAATTCCGGCGGCGAGGGTATGTTTCTGTCTAGAGGCGTCGATATGAATCTGGCGTCAAAGTCTTGCTCGTATTTCTCTAATGGCAATTGAGGAATTCCACAATATTGCGCTTGTGTGGACTCAACACAAAGTAGTAATAGTACCTGTTGACAAGAAAATTAGAATTCAAATTTAATCAAATCTCACACATCTATATCTACTTGCTTAGAATCTCTACAGTAAATAAACGTGAACCCAGGGGCGGAATTACAGTGCCGCAAGACCCCGCAATCTGGGGAGGTGGCAGGCCGTTTAGAGGCCCAAAGCCGACCATAATCAATTTTTTTATAGTTAAAAAAATATTTTCTTGTAAAAAAAAACAACAGATCTACTATATTAGTAACGGTCTACTGTAGCTAACACACGTTATTTCGTAAAGGAAAAATATACAGCTACATGATTTGTAGTGTGAAAGATAGGCAAACGTTCAAACCACTTCCATTACTTATTTCCATTTTTTAAATTGTCAAATATGTGTGCTCTTAATTGGGAAACATTTTTGTTCACTAAACAAATTAAAAAGTAATTAATCGTATTATTATAATTTAAAAACATAATAAAGAATGACATAGTATAAAAAGGAAATGTATCAAAAACTAATAATATCAATACAAAAAAAGCTTAAAAAATAATAATAAGGCGAGAAACCATTACACATACAAAGCTTTCATGCTTCATAATCTTTTGACCGATTAGATGTCCAGGAAGCAATATTAAGTCAGAAATTCAAACAGAGAATTTAAAAAGCAGACCAATAGCACTCACACAAATGATGTGTTGTTGTAACATGTTTTAATTGAAAGTAAAAACTAAGAATTTTTAATTTTTTCAAATTTCGAACAAACCCGTATTGAGTATTTAGTTTATATATATATATATATATATATATATATATATATATATATATATATATATATATATATATATATATATATATATATATATATATATATAGCAATGTATGTGTGTCTGTGTGTGTGTGTGTCCTTTATGCTTTACTACACCTCTCATCACATCGCCGTGAAACTTTGGGAAGTTGTTGAGAATATTCCTGGGGAGGTTTCTGCGAAAAAAATTATTTCAAATTCGCAGGGGTAGCGCCACTCTAGGGAAGGGTTCTGTAAAAAAATATATTTTAATTTCGCAGGGACGACGCCACGGGAGGGTCCGATTTTTCTCGATTTACGGTATATAAATATAATAAAAGTGAATTGCAGTGACACCGTTCATCCGATAGGCATGAAACTTTAGGAAGTTGTTGAGAATATTCCGGGGGGAGGGGGGGGGGGGGGGGAGGGGGAACGATTTTTTTTCTCTATACACGGTTTAGGGAGTAGATGACAATACTCCCGAGAATATTTCTGCAAAAAAAAAAGAAAACTAAAGTTTCTTATGGGCGGCGCCATATAGGGTACAACTTTCGTCAATACACGGTTAGGCGCCCAGAGTTTTAGAGCGACTATGTTGGCACTTGGCATCCGTTAATCGAGCGTCCTGCATAGCGAGTAAGGGGTACTACTATATTCAGCGGTAAAACTACAACAGGCTTCTAAAAATAACTTGGTAACGCGAGGAAATCCTTCTTTACAGTTTCGTCACATTGCGAAAGATGAAAAAATAACTTTTTGAATATGAGGAGCCTACTATAGAGTTTCGTCACTTTGTTAACGTATGGATGAAACCCTTCTTCTATCCCCCACGGCAACGCGCGGGGGTCGGTACGCAAGTATATATATATATATATATATATATATATATATATATATATATATATATATGTATATATATATATATATATATATATATATATATATATATATATATATATATATATATATATATATATATATATATATATATATATATATATATATATATATATATATATATATATATATATATATATATATATTGGGGCTCAAAATTTTTTTTCGTATTTAGTTTATATATATATATATATATATATATATATATATATATATATATATATATATATATATATATATATATGTTACGGTCAAAACCCGAAGTGCGGCCAAAGCGCGGATTGGCCGGCTCTCTTGGCCAAAGCCCGAAGAACTTAGCACTAAGATCGTATTTCGCACATTGGCCGGCCAATGCGCGCACTGGCCGGGATGTCCTGGCCAATGTTCTATCTAGACTAAGTTGTGATCGTATTTTATTATTCTGGGTGCGTTTTCATTGAGAGTAACGTATTGTTTAGCTCTTGTTTGTATAGCATTCTATATGCAAAGCGACATGGATCAAAACTGCCGTAAGACCATGAGACAGACATAGCAGATGGCTGTCAAAAGAAAAAAAATTAAATTTATGTTAGTTTCCATATATGGGTTCTCGATAAAATAGTTACTGAAGAAGATCTTGAGAACATTGAACAAGAAATGGAGGTTGCCATAAATGCAACGACATCCTCAGCTAACACATCTGCTGTCGTGGCGGAACGTCCAGACCAGTTGCGTGACAATAATGTGGCCAACAGATTCTGTATAGTTTGTGAAAAACATTGTAGTGCAGCTCATTCTTTTGGATCCTGTGGCAACGATGACCATGCTATTTGTGGAATACCCAATGAAGCAGACGAAGGGTACGGAGGGAACATTACCTGCAGATTGTGTCACAACAAACAAGATATCATGGAACACAGATCAGCAGCTCATACTGGCTTGCAAACTCAAGGTGCTAAGATGCTTAAAACATCAAATACAAAATTTAAAGATGGTGAAGTGGGTGACAATGTACGCATCCGTTTTGCAGATGTTGACAGAGGTCACGGTGATCCCCGTCGAGGGCGGTTTCTACAAATTAGTAACGGAACATGGTGTCCTAAAACAACTGTATGCTAGAAGTGAGTTTTCAATTCTTCACGAAAAACTGCTCTTATTGTCGTCAGTTGGCATTAAGGAAAATTCACTACGAACCATCGTATCTTCACAATCATTGTCTGGGGACCAAGGTTACACTAGCTGCAATTGCACAACTAAGTGCACAACAAATCGCTGCAAGTGTAAAAATAACAAGCTGCTATATAATTCTAAATGCCATAAAAGTTCAACTTGTTGTAACAAATGATGATATTGATAGATTGAGACTATAGTACAATAAAAAAAATTGATTGTTTCTGTCATTTACTTTAATTAAAAATCAATAAAGACTTAATTTCATGATCCTTACGACATAAAAAAAACCAAAATCTGCTCATGATCTTCTAATTCGGACTTTTGCCGGTCGTCCCTAACCAGATGATCTTCTAATTAAGACTTTGGCCGGTCCCCCATGGCCAATTCGCGGTTTGGACGGCCAATCCTAGCATTGCCCGAATTCGGGCTTTGACCGTAACATATATATATATATATATATATATATATATATATATATATATATATATATATATATATATATATATATATATATATATATATATATAGGGGCCCAAACATTTTTTTTTGCGGGGTCGCCCTTTTTTTCTAGTTCCGCCACTGCGTGAAACTGTTGATTTTGTAAAAAAAAGCTACTCTAACAGGCTTAGGTTTTAATGTCCATATAAACTCTCTAGACACCATACGGGAGTACGGGGCGCATCGGGTCAATCGACCCAGAGGTCACATGACGACGTGCCTGGTTATATTATCAAAATACCCCAGGTGCTAAGATAACCGCTGGGAAACTTTGGGAGATAACTCGCACCGTGCTGGACCAAGCCATTCCTAAATTGAAAAAACTTTTTTTTTCGCTCAATTAAAAATCCCCAAAGTATTCCCATCAACTTCCCAATGTTTCATGGCGGGGACAATGTAGTAATGCATTCAATACAAACTCACAGACAGACGGACAGACAGACAGACAACCGCACCCACATGCAGACATATATATATATATATATATATATATATATATATATATATATATATATATATATATATATATATATATATATATATATATATATATATATATATACAAAGGAAAGTATGATGCAAGTTAAAGTTACCACAAATGCTTTCATTTTTTTATGAATACAAACTAGACGTTTTTCTCCGTAGTATCTGTACATAAGAACCTTGAAGTTTGTTGAGAAAGTCTTTTTGTTTTACTGACATGTTGACTGATAATGACGAGCATCTGAGAAAAAGCAAGGATCTGTAAAATAGTAAGTTTTTAAATTAAACGTTACTTGAGGTAAAGCAAGTTGATGTTAGAATGTGATAAACAATTTTATGTAACACATATGGTTACCAGCCAAGGGGGATAAAAATTTGAAGTTTTTATTCATTTGGTTGCGGCCCCTGTGGGACTGCAACTGAACTGTTGACGTTGTTTGTTTATGCTTATGTGAGCGATGTTACCTGTGTTCCATGTCATGTGACATGGGACTGTGGGTAGTTTCATGCCTAGCCGTGTCGCACACGCAAGGCTGCTGTCTGTGGACCAAGATTTAGACCTAATGAAGGTAGTTATATAAATTATGTTTGTTAAAATACTTAGTTGTGTATTCCTGCTAGTGCTGCATGTGCACACTAGTTAGGGTGAGTATTAATATAAGTATGTATTTGAAGTACTACGTATTGGTACTTGTTGGCAGTACTGTGTACTGGCCAAAACATATTTTATTGTTACCCGTGTATATTGTGGCCTACACATGGTGTTGTCAGGAATGTAACTTTTTTTATTTACATTTGTTTTAGGGCTACAGCTTTTGGTTTTTGGATCTTTTGGTTTATCTTGGCTAGTGTGTTTTGTACTACTGTGTTGCATCGCCGTCATGGCTCGATGCTGTAAATAAAGCGAGTACTTGACAACAACTGTCGGTGTCGGTGTGTACTTAATCTCAGGGTCAGCCCGTCTTAACCACAACACCTCAGTGGGTAAAAGCATCCCCACTGAGTGAGGGTTACATTTATATTAGGTAAGGTAAGTTTGTGTTGTAATATATTAAAATGTGCTAGAAATTCTAGCCTAGAATTTTTTTGTAATTGGCTGATTTGTCTAGAATAGTGAATATTACGCTACCACGTGGTCGAATGAGCTAGAATAGGGTGATCATTGTAAGCTGAGCGAGATTGGGATAGGATGAGCTAGGGTTTGAATTGGTGAGTTGTTTTGTGGTGGTTATGCTGGATTAAGTAGACCACGATACGCTACATTAGGTTATGAAATGCTTTGTTTGGCATGGTTGCCTTTGTTTAGCTAATTCGGGTTACGTTGTGAGTTGTGTTAAGTAGGTTAGAAACGTTTCTGAATACTGAAATTGGGACATTACCCAGAAACAAATGAAATACAACCTAAATCCTAAATAATCCCAAATTAAATCAACAATCTACAAAAGCTATCTACAAGAGTTTGAATACAATCTGCTAGATCTACAAGCTATTTTTGTTTTTCTACTAAGCTAAGCTTAGCGCTACAAAAAAAAGTTTTAAAAAATTATAGATAAACGACCTCTTTTTGCATTCGATGCTAAGTTCACGACAACTATTTATCTGATTATAGTTGCACTAATATGTTTTTTTTTTCAACACCGCACGAAGAATTTGTTATCCAACCTGCAAAATCAAATTTCATTCTCTTTTTGTAGACTTGATCTTGTTTAGGGTTTAACAAAAAAAAAACAACAACCGGTTGCCAAAATACTGGATGTTAATAACTTAGTGCCAAATGGTGCACTTTCGCATTAAAGAAAATTTGAATCTCTTTAAGCTTTTAAGCCCATAGAAAGATGTAAGCCTAATAAAATAAACCGGGAGTGATCTCACCTAAACTTTCTCGAATATTTATATATAATACTACGGGGATGGCACCTCGGGATATAGACATGATTTTAAATCGATTTTTAATGACTTAAACTTTAAAAAATAGAATAGAATCTCGTAGAAAGAAGAATGGTGGTTGTTGTGAATGGACTTTAGTGTATGGAATGAGTTTGAGAGTATGTGTGTGGTGGAATGGGGTAAATAAATTTGTCGATGGTTTGAGAGTATGCGTGTAGTGGTATTAATAAAAGATTATGAATGCGTAAAAAAAAAGAATTAAGAATTTGAGAGACTATGTGTTGGTTGTTAGGAAGATAATTTTAGAGTCAGTCTTAGTCTTGTTGTCGTCATGTGAGGATGTCTAGAAGTCGTCGTCCAGTCTGCGTCTGTCGTCAATGTAGCTGTATATATTTTATATTAAAAAAAAAAAAAGATAGAACTATCGTATCGTCGTTCAGTATTCGCTATTGGATCGTCGTCCTATATTGGTCAACGTTCAGCATCGACCTCGTACAGAAACTCGCTTTACAACAGTGGTGAACGCCAAACAATATGTGTATAATAGTGCGGAATACAGTGGCGTAGGCAAGGGGGGGGGGGGTGTTTACAAATCTAGACGTTTTACGCCTCCATGAGTCGGAAAAACATATTTTTGCAATTTTGTCCGGATGTCTGTGTGTATTTTATCAAAATTGTAGTTATCAAAATCGTAGATCCGTATCAACATTTGAGCGATTTCCGATAACCAGAAATGGTACTTTTTCTAATTTGAAATTTTCAAAAGCCAGGGGTCGGCGTGGTTGAGTCGGTAAAGCTCATGGTTGCTAAACCGAAAAGTCTCGAGTTCCAACCCTCGGGCAGATGAGGTTCGTTTGCAACTCCAAAATTAAACAACTGCTGCCTTGTAGTTTGTTCTTGGTTGGACAAAGGCTATGGAAGCAAATCCAAAAAGAAAAGAAGGCTGAAATCGGAGTCAATGGCCTCAATGGCGCATAACCAGTTGACACGTAACGCTTAATTGTGTTGGAGGCGTGGTCGAGTCGGCAAAAAGTTCATGGTTGATAAATTCGAACAAAGTCTCGAGTTCAAACCCACTGGCAGATAAATCTCGATCCCCTTCAACACTAATAATTAAGAACGAAGAAGAAGAAGAAGAGAAGCATGTATTTATAAAGTGCTAATAATATTCCGCACTATTATGCATATTTTGTTTAGGCGTTCGTTTGGTGCAAAATTCTTTTTTCTACGAGATTCTACTCTATTATAAAAAGTTTAAGTAATTTAAAATCATGTCTATATTCCAAGTTACCATCCCACGTAGTGTTATATAAGAATATTCGATAAAGTTTAGGGGAGATCACTCTCGGTTTATTTATCTCAAATTTGCGAAAATTTCCAAATTTCAATAACATTGACAAATAGGCTTACCAAGAGAGCCAAATAAAGAAAAGTTAAGTGTGTATTAACTTTCCTCCTAAATCACAATCAGTTGAAATTTTATTTCCCCATCTTGGAATACAGTAGCACTTCAGTTTATTTATTGTTAAACCTGTTATTTTTACTTTTAGATCTAGTCGTAACGACAGGACTGTATCTTAGTCAGAAGACATGACATGGATGGATGGATACATGGATACATATTGGGTGGGTGGGTGGGTGGGTGGATGGATGGGTGGGTGGGTGGGTGGATGGGTGGGTGGGTGGATGGATGGATGGATGGATGGATGGATGGATGTATATATATAAGAATTAATAATATGGAAACAATAAAAGATACTATATGCTTTAACACAGATGATGATACTTAACACGACCCCAGTCACAGCCACGTCCGCACTACAACTAACTGCTTCACACACTGGCACACGCTCTGACACCCGTCACCTGTCACACCTCACGTGAACACCTCTCGCTCCATGTAAACACACTCAACCAAGGGATACAACTACACACCAAAGGGAGGGTACCTGTCGTTCCAGCACACAAAACACACACACACAAGCAGGGGACATGTAAGGGACGTAACATCCCTCCCCTTCACCTCCTTTTCTTCAAAGAGATCAAACATCTCTGGTTACATTAGCCACTGTTAGTGCCCGAGCTCGACTATTTATTCTTTAGTCCTTAGGACGCCTCGTTTTTAGCGGTGGGGACAGCGTGTGGCTTGTATCCAGCCTGGACAGTTCGGTCCAGAGTGTGGCTTGTATCCAGTCTGGACAGTTCGGTCCAGAGTGTGGCTTGTATCCAGCCTGGACAGTTCGGTCCAGAGTGTGGCTTGTTTCCAGCCTGGACAGTTCGGTCCAGAATGTGGCTTGTATTCAGCCGGGACAGTTCGGTCCAGAGTGTGGCTTGTATCCAGCCTGGACATTTTGGTCCTGAGAGTGGACTATGGTTTTCTCCGGCCGGGCACCAAGCTCGTGGTCTGACTATCTCAACCTATAAAGATACACGTGAGAAGCCACAATAAAAAATAAATTAATCAGCATAATCATTCTATACTGCATCAGCAATACCTTTCTCAAACATTTCTCAATATAATCATATTATAATGCCTCAATAGTAAATTCCTTAACATAATCATACTATGCTCCAACAATAATAAATTTCTCAATATCATATACACTAGTTGTCTTAAAACACTCGTGATAGAATGTCTGCTACAAAGTTCTCAGTTCTCTTGATATGTTTCAGTACAGGCTAATTCAGTGGCGTAGCCAGGATCGTCTCAAGGGGGGGGGTTCAATTTTTACCCGGGGGCGAACTTTCGATTTGCACCCCCCTCCCCCTCAAACTTTCGAACTGCACCCCCCCTCTCAAACTTTCGATTTGCACCCCCTCATACTTTATATATACCTACGCCACTGGGCTAATTCCTGTAGTGCAACGGCCCAACGGCAGATGCGTACGTCGCCATAGATGGTCATCTTTCCTTAAAGGCGATCAAACTGATTTCCCTTCTCGATAGCCGTTTTAACTACATCATTTATCTCCAGCCCGTAATCATCATACACAGCTTCTGTAAAAAAAACCAAAGAAAAATTTACATTCATTAAATAAATTATCTTTAACAAAAAACGTACCAAGGTCACTACCTTTGTAAGGATACGCCTCCCAGTTGTGTGCTTTACCTCACTCTCATATGCGAGTCTTTAAGCAGGGAAAAATTTCCTAACATATCACGCTGAGCTGTGGGACACGCCCTTGATATTTGACCAACACCACCGCAGCAATAACACTTGAGATCATCTGACCGTCGATGTACATTTTCAGTGCGCCAGTTGCTCGCTCTACTGGTCCCGTTGGGACAGTTTCGTTGTATGTGGCCTGGCTTTCTACCGCTATAACAGGCTCCTGTATCTATATCCATACTGCACTCCTTGGCAATTTGACCTTGTTCATTGCACTCGAAGCACCGATAAGGTTTTTTGTTGTTTCCGTACTCCACAACAGCTCTTTTATCTGCCCTATTTCTCCAAGTAAAACCGCTACTACTATTGCAATGACAATCCCTGGCATAGTGTCCATGATGGCCACATGTGTAATATCTACTGCTCAGGCTGACCTTGCTAACAGCATGCATTGGTTGTACACCAGCGTGTCGTGCCTGCCGTTTACCTGATTCGTTCCTGTCCCGTCTAGAGGTGGGGCAGACTCTCGCGATATGATCAACTCTCCCGCATGAGTAGCACACAATTTCTTCCGTGGAAGGACAAGAGTGGCGTCCTGGAGATCGCGGTGTCGTGTTTTGCTAGGGTATCCTCTCTGCTGTCGAACTTGCAACGACGTACGGAGTGGTTTGGTTTACTGGCGTCGTCACTCTAGCGCTTTGAGTGCTTTTATAGTTGTCAATAACTTTTAGATTATCTTCCACACTTACCTTAGCAGCACCATTTAGCCTCTCCAACAGATCACACGTGACAATTGATTTTATCCGATCAACTATTAGGAGGTTCACCAAGTCCTCAAACGTTTCTTTTGTCTCCGACTGCCGGACCCACGCTCTCAAAGCGGCTTCTGTGTTGACGGCGAAGCTTCTCATGTCGTCGTGTGTTGGTACCAGCTGGTGGAATCTGACCCTATACTTTTCCTTGTTAAAACCTGCATGCGTCATTAACTTTACGTTAGCTGACTCGAAGTCATGGTGCAAGTTCAGCGTCCCGTCTCAACCAGGAAAGTCTTCAGGTGGTCACTCATTTTATCCGTCAGCAGAAGCGACCAGTCCTTGGGGTCGATACCTTGTCTCTCGGCTTGACTTTCAAAGTGTCTCACATAAGCACCCAAATCCTCGTCTACCGTCATTGCCGCCACGTCCCTCAAGCGGGGTACAGGGTTACTTACCTTTACCACGACATCGCCCTTCACATCTTCTACCCTCCTCATCTCTTCCTTCACCCACTCCGCCAAACTGTCATCACTCAGCCCGATTAGCTTCCCCTCTTCTTTCAAGTCGCTGATTAGCTGTCTTCTGGAACTCCTGGTGGTCGCCATGTTAACCGGACGGGCCCCCAAATGTTGGGTTCTTCAGTCTAAGTCTATGGGTATATTATAGCAACTGACAACATACACCACAGTAAATTCACTGAATAACAATACTAAGCAATAATAATAACTTTATATATATATATATATATATATATATATATATATATATATATATATATATATATATATATATATATATATATATATATATATATATATATATGTTACGGTCAAAGCCCGAAGTGCGGCCAAAGCGCGGATTTGCCGGCCAATCCGCGCATTGGCCGGCTCTCTTGGCCAAAGACAAGAAGAACTTAGCACTAAGATCGTATTTCGTACATTGGCCGGCCAATGCGCGCACTGGCCGGGATGTCCTGGCCAATGTTTTATCTAGACTAAGTTGTGATCGCGTTTTCATTATTCTGGGTGCAGTTTCATTATGAGTAACGTATTGTTTAGCTCTTGTTTGTATAGCATTCTATATGCAAGGTGACATGGATCAAAACTGCCGTCAGACCATGAGACAGACATAGCAGATGGCTGTCAAAAGAAAAAAATGTAAATCCATGTTAGTTTCCATATATGGGCTACAACTGTATGTGACAGCCTCCTCCATGACGACGAGGTGAGACAGTCATCAAAGAACAAAAGCAAAGACAGTCGGCGTCACCGACCACGTGCAACAAGACGGAACGTTCAAAAGACTTTGCCGCGTTCCTTGTAAGTTGAACAATAGTGTCCAAGCGACTTGAGATGGCGTGGGCGTCAGAAACCACTTCAAATCTACCAAGAGAGACTCTCGATAAAATAGTTACTGAGGAAGATCTTGAGAACATTGAACAAGAAATGGAGGTTGCCATAAATGCAACGACATCCTCTGCTGTCGTGGCGGAACGTCCAGACCAGTTGCGTGACAATAATGTGGCCAACAGATTCTATATAGTTTGTGAAAAACATTGTAGTGCAGCTCATTCTATTGGATCCTGTGGCAACGATGACCATGCTATTTGTGGAATACCCAATGAAGCAGACGAAGGGTACGGAGGGAACATTACCTGCAGATTGTGTCACAACAAACAAGATATCATGGAACACAGATCAGCAGCTCATACTGGCTTGCAAACTCAAGGTGCTAAGATGCTTAAAACATCAAATACAAAATTTAAAGATGGTGAAGTGGATGACAATGTACGCATCCGTTTTCCAGATGTTCACAGAGGTCACGGTGATCCCCGAAGCGTGATTGCAGTTGTCATGAGCATCGAGGGCGGTTTCTACAAATTAGGAACGGAACATGGTGTTCTAAAACAACTGTATGCTAAAAGTGAGTTTTCAATTCTTCACGAAAAACTGCTCTTATTGTCGTCAGTTGACACTGAGGAAAATTCACTACGAACCATCGCATCTTCACAACCATTGACTGGGGGCCAAGGCTACACTCGCTGCAACTAAGTGCACAACAAATTGCTGCAAGTGTAAAAATAACAAGCTGCTATATAATTCTAAATGCCATAAAAGTTCAACTTGTTTTAACAAATGATGATATTGATAGATTGAGACTATAGTACAATAAAAAATGTGAATGTTTCTTTCATTTACTTTAATTAATAATCAATAAAGACTTAAATTCATGATCCTTACGGCATAAAAAAAAACCAAAATCTGCTCATGATCTTCTAATTCGGACTTTTGCCGGTCGTCCTTAACCAGATGATCTTCTAATTAAGACTTTGGCCGGTCCACCATGGCCAGTCTGCGGATTGGCCGGCCAAAGGCCGAAATCAAGCAAAGTTTCGGACTTTGACCGAAAATATGAAAACAATACAAGATACTATATGCTTTAACTTAGATGATGATACTTAACACGACCCCAGTCACAGCCAAGTCTTGTCACAGCCACGTCCACATCCACACCAGAACGAACACACTGGCACACGCTCTGACACCCGTCACCTGACACACCTCACGTTAACACCTCTCGCTCCATGTAAACACACTTAACCAAGGGATACAACTATACACCAAAGGGAGGGTACCTGTCGTTCTAGCACCCAACACACAATCAGGGGACATGTAAGGGACGTAACACTATTGTTTACTTGTCTCTATGATTTCAAATGATTATTCCAGGTAGGTTTTTTGAAGAGATTGTCTTTGTTTTCTTTTATATTTCTGTCGTTCACACAAAGCTGGGTCGCATTTTTCTTTTTTTTTTCCTTCTCTTTAGTCAAATTGCATGAGTTATATAGATCTTAATTTCCTCATTGATTTGGACTCGTTTTTAGCGCAATTTCCATTCTGGAGAATTGCGTTTATTAACTCGTCATTTCTGGGAATGGATGGATGGATGAATGAATGTATGGATGAATGTGTGTCCGGGCTTTAAGTCGTATCTCCTCCTCAACGAAGCAATATCGATGACTAGTTCCAAAAGCAATTATGTTAAGCAAGTTACGAGAATGAGCATAGGCCATAAAAATTCCGGGTTTCTTTCATGTATTTCCCGGAAAAGCCAAAAAACCTCGAAAAACACCGATAAATACTAAAAGAGCCGAATTAAAGAAATGTTAAGTGTGTATTAACTCTCATCTAATTCCCAATCAGTTGAGAATTTATTTCACCATCTAAGAAAACAGGCAAACTTCAGTTTATTTATTACTAAACCTGTTATTTTCACATTTAGATCTAGACTTACTTAAACAAACACATATCTCTGAGTGAACCTAAATACTTTATTCTTATATACATACAGCTCAGGCAGTACGTCTTGTCTCTGACTCTACCTTTCGTTAACTGACGCATCAGTTAATGTACGCATCAATTACACATCACAGTGAACACTCAAGGGAGGTAACCGTGATATGCATAGTACAAGGGACGTAACAATCACTACAAGACATAATTTAACAGCTCAAACCAGTTTAAACGATAATTAAGCAACATAACCAACAAGACCAATATAGCCCAACCAAGCAGACCGCAGCCCAACCAACCGGACCGTAACCCAACCAACCGGACCGTAGCCCAACCAACCGGACCGTAGCCCAACCAACCGGACCGTAGCCTAAACTAACCCTCCATAGCCCGACTATCTCGCACAACCGACCACAACTTAGCCTATCTTTTGAAAACTTAGTTATCCCTAGCTCTATTCTGCTCATCCTAGCCAATTCTAGCTTATTCTATCCCATGGTTATTAGAATCCCAAAATCTAGCCTACACGAGTCGATTTTAAAACATTCTAATAAATTATAACTAAATCTTTCCTTTTCTGTTTTAATTTTTTTTCTAACTTAATTCTAACCTAAACTAGAGTTTTAGCATTCTAACGTGGTACAGATGATGGATCTTATTTCTGTTTTGAGCGGAAATGACACAATTTAGTTTGCGTCCATGGACGTGTTTTTGTAGAGATCAGGTTGTTCCTTGGTTGGAGAAGAATTCAAAATTCTCAAACAGAACACGCGTGTAAAAGCTAGGGGATATGTAGATTGTGACGGAGTGGTCTAGCGGTAGAGAGCTGGACTGCTAACCTGTAAGTCCGAGTTCGAATCCGGGTAAAAGTCAGTAGACCGACCCTGAGTCCACCCAACTCTGTTAGGGAAAGTATAGGCGGCTGGGCATAGTGTTTCACAGAAACAAGTGAATTTTTAGTGAACTCTACTTCACTTGTCCCATAGACCGTCAGGTTTGAAATCGAAACTTAACGTAGAATGTGATTTAATAAAGAGCCTAGGAGCTTGCTTGTTTGTATTTTCCCCAGCCAATCAGGATATTGATAAAACGTTTGAAAAACAGTATCTGTGAATACTGGGTGTCATTGTCGTGTTATGTTTGCCTGTCGTCCCTCTTGGGGCATAGGCCCCTGTCAAGAGCTTTCATCGTCACATCTCCAGGTATTTCTTGGTCTGCCTCTTTTCCTTTTGCCTTGTGGATTCCAGGTCGAATGAAGTGACTGTCGCTGTATCTAACAGCGGTTAACTTAACAAGTTCAGGCCTAATGATACATAGGGCAGATGAAGTAGACCATCTAGAGAGACTTGAAGTTAAGGTACGTTACAGCAAATAGTTTAATTTTTTTTCTCGTTTCGATAAACGCAATGCGAAATGAAGTGACAGGGTGAGAAACGAAAATATTTATCAGATGTGGGACAAAGACTATTTCATGATATTTATTTATCTTTTTTATTTTTTGAATAGTAAGTAAATGAACAAAAAAAATTGTTTTGCCTAAAAGTAAAAGCTAAAATAAAAATAATCGGAGAAAAAAAATTAAAACATTAAAGCATTAAACTCTATTTGTTAACGGAATGACTCATACAGGAATGTCGGCGACTACAGAATTGTGTGTATCTTTAGTTTGTAGTGAAGCCAAAAAAACTACTTGAGTACATTCAAATTAACTTCAACTAGGAAAAAACAGTGTTTCTATGATTAAAAAATAAATGATTTAAGTATTTTATGTATAACGTGGTTGGTGCATCAGCTTTCTTCGACTTTGATCAAGTCACTGGGAGTAGATGGATTGTTCAAGAAAAGAATTTTAAAAAGAGGAAGAAGAAAAACAAAAGAGATCGCCACCCCACAGCTTAATCTCTGTGACAACTGCCTAAGTAATCAGACAGGCTGGATTTTTTAATCTACTCCTCGCGAAAACAATATTTTCAGATCCATACAAATGAGCTAGGCATTTTTTTTCATGCCGGCAATTATAGTCGGGAGAGCCCTAGGCACAGCTCCAAAAAAACCTATGTGACTTCCGCTCGATTTTACACCATGGCTAACGACTCCAACTAAGTAGTAGCGTCCATTCTTCAAGCAGCTCAATGGACCTCCTGAGTCTCCATTAAAGGAGCCGGCGTACTCTCCAGTAGGGAACTCCACGGACTGTACACAGTAATAAAACCCTCTCTTATCTAAGTGTCCCTTAAATGTTTGGGCAGCCTGGCACACGGTTTGGTTGACTATCCTGCTCCCAATTTGCTGCAGAATGACGGGAACTCCGGACTTCTCCGTAAATAACCTCCCCCAGCCTGTGGCGAAACAAGGCGTGGTATCCCAAACATTGTCTTCAGGCAAACAAATCGGCTGCACGGAGTCTGAAAAATTTAACGGTGAAGAGAGTTTGTAAACGGCGATGTCGCCAGGCGGGTAGGTGAAATATTTGACAGTCCTGATCATTTTACTCTTTTTAAAATTGATGTTTCCATAGCGGATTGAAACAACATTTTCTGTAGCACAGTGTAGCGCCGTCACGACCCATTCACGATTTATGATAGATCCTCCACAAAAGTGTTTGCTAGCGACCAACCTGATCTGCCAGGGCCAAGCATTGGCTGGAGCATCTTGACCCTTGACGATCTGCTTTGATTGGTCGTTTTTAGACACGCCACAGTCGCCTTGATTTATATTCGGCGGCGAGGGTATGTTTTTGTTTAGAGGCGTCGATATGAATCTGGCGTCAAAGGCTTGTTTGTATTTCTCTAATGGCAATTGAGGAATTCCACAATATTGCGCTTGTGTGGACTCAACACAAAGTAGTAATAGTACCTGTCGACAAGAAAATTTGAATTCAAATGAAGACGTTATTAAATAAGACCAAATATTACACATCTAAATCCACTTGCTTAGAATCTGGACAATAATTAGACGTGAACCTGTTGATTTTTTTAAAAATCGAAATTAGTTAACTGTCACCTTGCATAACATGCATAGGTTTTGATGTCCATATAAACTACCAAGGCGCCATCAGAGAGTCCAGGGCGCACTGGGTCATTCGACCCCCGGGGCACCTGACGACGCGCCTGGTTATATTAAGTAATCGATTATATTCACGTGCAGAACGTCCAATCAAAATACCCCAGGTGCTAAGATAACCGCTAGGGAACTGGGAGGTAACTCGCACCGTGCTGGACCAAGCCATTCCTAAATTGAAAAAACTTTTTTTTTTCGCTCAATTAAAAATCCCCAAAGTATTCCCATCAACTTCCCAATGTTTCATGGCGGCGAAAATGTAGTAATGCAATCAATACAAACTCACAGACAGACAGACAACCGCACCCACATGCAGACATATATATATATATATATATATATATATATATATATATATATATATATATATACAAAAGAAAGTATAACGCAAGTTAAAGTTACCACAAATGCTTTCATTTATCTATGTATCACAAACTAGACGTTTTTCTCCGTGGTATCTGTACATAAGAGACTTGAGGTTTGTTGAGAGAGTCTTTTTGTTTCAATAACATGTTGATTGATAATGACACCCATCTGAGAAAAAGCAAGGATCTGTAAAATAGTAAGTTTTTAAATTGAACGTTACTCCAGGTAAAGCAAGTTGATGTTAGAATGTGGTAGACAGTTTTACATTAGGTAAGGTAAGTTTGTGTTGTAATATATTGTAATATATTAAATGTAATATATTAAAATGCACTAGGAATTTCCGGGTGGGGGGGGGGGGGCGGACACTTTCAAAAGTATATTTTTTCTAATTAAATTCCGTTTCGTTCGGGGGGGGGGGGGGGGGGGCGGTAGACTTTCTTTGGGGGGGGGGGGGGCGATGAGATGCCTGGAAGAAACTCTGATTGGGATAGGATGAGCTAGGGTTCGAAAACCTGGTTTGGTTTGTGTACGTTTATGCTGGATTAAGTTTTGATAAGTTGTGCAAGGTTGTGTTACGTTAGTTAAAGCAAGTTTATATTACCATAATGATTGACTCATTTACATTAATTAAGGTAGGTCTGTGTTATAATGAATTAAGGTATGTTATAATGTCTTATAGTGATTATAGTGTTTAATAACGGACTGGAGTAGGAGAGAGCGAGGTAGGATTGAACAAGGGATTGAATGATGGGCCGGATTGTGTTAAGTTAGGCTAGGTAGGTTAAAGTTTGGATGGGTTGTTTAAGGTTGCGCTAGTTTTGGCTAGGTAGGTTAAAGTTTGGATGGGTTGTTTGAGGTTGCGCTAGTTTTGGCTAGGTAGGTTAAAGTTTGGATGGGTTGTTTAAGGTTGCGCTAGTTTTGGCTAGGTAGGTTAAAGTTTGGATGAGTTGTTTGAGGTTGCGCTAGTTTTGGCTAGGTAGGTTAAAGTTTGGATGAGTTGTTTAAGGTTGCGCTAGTTTTGGCTAGGTAGGTTAAAGTTTGGATGAGTTGTTTGAGGTTGCGCTAGTTTTGGCTAGGTAGGTTAAAGTTTGGATGAGTTGTTTGAGGTTGCGAGTTTTAGCTAGGTAGGTTAAAGTTTGGATGAGTTGTTTGAGGTTGCGCTAGTTTTGGCTAGGTAGGTTAAAGTTTGGATGAGTTGTTTGAGGTTGCGCTAGTTTTGGCTAGGTAGGTTAAAGTTTGGATGAGTTGTTTGAGGTTGCGCTAGTTTTGGCTAGGTAGATTAAAGTTTGGATGAGTTGTTTGAGGTTGCGCTAGTTTTGGCTAGGTAGGTTAAAGTTTGGATGAGTTGTTTGAGGTTGCGCTAGTTTTGGCTAGGTAGGTTAAAGTTTGGATGAGTTGTTTGAGGTTGCGCTAGTTTTGGCTAGGTAGACTGAAGCTGTGATTAGAATCCACTAGGTTAGGTTAGGTTAGGTAGACCTAAAAAAAAGCTAGGTTGACCTAAACTTTGGCCACGATCAGCGGCGTAGCGAGTTCGGTGTAACCCGGTGCGACACTTAACTGTGTCACCCCCCCCCCCCCCCCCCCAGAGGCGTAGCGACCCTTCCTGGGGACAAACTTTCAATTTTCGACTTGCACCCATCCCATCAAACTTTCGATTTCCTCCCCTTCCTCAAAATTTCGATTTGCACCTCTCCCCTCAAACTTTCGATTTGCACCTTCTCTCAAACTTTCGATTTCCACCCCCTCCCCTCAAACTTTCGATTTGCACCTCGTAAAAGACCAACACTGGAATTAACCACTTAATCGTGTGGAATTATCAGTTTTCTCTATAGATTTTGCTATTTTTTGCCTTGGTGTTACCCCCCTAAATGGTGTCACCCGGTGCGGTCCGCCCCCCCCCCGCCCCCCACCCCTCGCTACGCCTCTGGCCACGATACGCTAAGTTTTGCTAGGTAGAGCTAAGCTGGGATAGGATATACTAGGTTAGGTTAGGTAGACTTAAGTTATGTCACGATACGCTAAGTTTGAATGAGTTGTTTGAGGTTGCGTGTTTTGGCTAGGTAGACATAAATTTTGGCCACGATACGCTACATTATTATGTAAAGTTTTGTTTGGCATGGTTGCCTTTGTTTAGCTAATTTGGATTACGTTGTGTTAAGTAGGTTAGAAACGTTTCTGATTACTCAAATTGGGAAATGACCTAGAAACAAATAAACACAGCCTAAATCCTTACATAATCTCCATGAAATCTACAAATGCGTTCTACGATAGTTTGACTGCAATCTGCTAGATCTACTGGACATTTTTCTAATAAGCTCAGCTTAGCGTTACAAAAAGGAAAACTTTCTAAAAATTTTTTAGATAAACGATCGTTGTTTTTTTTTTTTGCATTCGATGCAAAGTTCACAACAACTGATTATTTGACTATAACAGTACTAATATGTTTATTTCAACAAAAAGAATTTATTACCCAACCTGCAAAATCAAATTTCATTCTCTTTTTGTTGGCTTTACCTAGTCTAAGTTTTAACTGCAGAATCTCCGGTTGCCAAAATACTGCATGTAGATCTAAATATCTTGGTGCCAAATGGTGCACTTTCGCATTAAGAAAAAATTGCATCTACTTAAGTTTTTAAGCCTGTAGAAAGATGTAAGCTTAATAAAAATTATACTTAGACCCTATGTACTTTTAAGTACGATTTTCTTTATAGTTATTTAAATAGTAGTGTATTTTATATTTAAAGAACATCATTTATTTTCTACTTTTCAGTGCATTATTACATAAAAGCTTGTTATTAAAACGTTTTTTATGATTTTTTTTTCAAGAAAACAGAGGTTTTCAAGAAAACATAGAGCGAGATCTTAGAGAGTGCTGTTCTAAGGTTTTTAAAAAATCTTAAATGGGGTAAGAAACGGCTTAAATGATATAACAATTGTGTTAAAAAGATCTTGCTAATAGAATTAAATGTTTATATATTACTAGCGTACTTGCCCTGCGCGTTGCTGCGGGCTAACGCAATATTTAAAGATGGTTTCGTTAATGTATTTTAGACGCGTGACCTTGTTTTGCACAAATGAGTTAAAACAATCAAACAACTAATTTGTTTCCTTTGATCTCTGATGAGATCTCTTTTTTTTTTAACGACAAAAGCTTTTATTGAATATAGCAATTTAGTTTCTTATTTTTATTTCCAATGCATTTAAAATCTTTTATTATAGGCCTAAATCTTTTTATATTTATTTTATTTTCAACAGGTAACTCGTTTGAAATGGAGGTGACACTATGTAGGCTATGCACAGAGCCGGCGTTAGGGGGTGGCGAACGGGGCGGTCGCCATAGGCCCCGCGCTTGAAGGGGCCCCGCGCTTCAGCAATGTCATTGTTATCTGAATTAGTTCGTAAACTTAAAAAAATTGTTGCTGACTTCAATTGAGAAAAACTAAATGGTCGAACGCCGACGTTGCTGATTGTTATAACTGAGGCCACGGTTGATGTTGGTGAGTCCCACCTGAACTGGGACAGGCCGTAATTCGATACAAAAATAGTGTCACGCCTTCCCTTTGTGTAGGGTACGGTCGCCTGGCATTTTACCTGAGCTGACTGGAGATTGTTGGATGCGAATGAGCCCCCGACCTGACATGGGATGTAAATTTGGGAAACGTAAAGAGATACCCTATTGTATGCGGACCCATGAAGACGTCCTTTTAGTGAGCAGACGGGATGTCTGTAGTAGACAGTTAGTGACGTGATGAACTCTAGTCCTGACTTTCTTGTTGTAGATGTCGTATAATGTCGTATATGTACAGTGTTTCTTCCAGACTTTTTTCTCCGGGGGGGGAGGGGCACTTGAAATTTTCGGGGGGGGGGGGGGGATGGCGGAAGATTTTTCTTCGAGGGGGGGGGGCGGACACTGTTAAAAGTATATATTTTCTATATAAATTATATAAATTCCATTTCTATATGTAGGCCTACTTGTCTTGGTAAAACAAAATTAACATTCAGTTGCGTGCAGGGGGTGGGAGGAGGGCGACGAAGGGGGGGGGGGCTTAGGATCTATATCAGGCGGCATTAAACAGAGTGATTTATTATTATTTTTTGGAAGAAAGTTAAAACTGTTGTTATGTTGTGTCACCTTAAGGATTCACCCGTTCAATAATTAAGACAAATAATGTTTTTGGTTTTAAAATATTGTATGAATTCTAAACAAATTTTGAAGTCTATACTGTTTTGATACATCAGGCCGAGTTCGCTGTATTGTAAACTTTATTTTCCTAATTATTCGGCACGTGATTAAATTTTCTTAAGTTATTTTGTATGAATTACATAACTGTCAAAAGTGATTTAATATCTTAGCAAAGGAAAAAAAAACTACGAACATTGGGTTAATACATGGGAGAGATAAAAATCTGTTATTATAGTGGAAAGTTTGACATTAGCTTATAAACTCCAAAACATTTGTGTTATTATGTGTACATCACATTATATAGGCCTTTATACATACATACATATAAATATATGTATATATCTATATATATATATATATATATATATATATATATATAAATATATATATATATATATATATATATATATATATATATATATATATATATATATATATATATATATATATATATAAATATATATATATATATATATATATAATGGAAAGGCCCCGCGCGGATGGTTGGCCCTAGGCCCCGCGTATTCCTAACGCCGGCTCTGGCTATGCATACAAACATTTGTGTTGAAACCCGACTAATAGCTTGTGATCAGTAAAATTCAGTCATCGTGGTCGACGAAAGGGCAAGAACAAATCGTCCAACTGTGCACAAACAGTTCACCCTTGCGGGGCTCTCGTATCAAACTATCGCTACGTAGTATTTTATCTTGTTACCTCCCCTGTTAGCATTGAATAATAATAATAATTTTAAAATTAAATTGTCTCTCTAATTAGATTAGACTATTGCATTGTCATCGAAAAATTATCTGAAATGAAATAGCTGAACTGGTTCAAAATTGAGTTTAAAAATAAAAGCTTGTAAATAGCCACAAATCACAAACAGACGTAAGAATAACATTTGATGAATAAAATTGCGATATATTAATTATTATGAAAGATAATGCTTCGTTTTCCGCAGCGCGCATTTTAAAACTGCTAGATCTACTAGTTCTAGTATACTGGATTTAGATCTAGAATATAGAATATAAATCTAGATCTAGATCTGTAGACCTATACTGTTTTTTAGGCCAACTGAATGCTTTTTTTTATATCTAGAGTCTAGATCTAGAATCAAGATTTTAGATCAAGAGATCTAATCTAGTAGATCTAGATCTAGACTTATTACTAGAATAGAAAAGTAGAGTACTAATTTCACAGTTTCATCTTTTTTATCCGAATGTTTATGTGTGTGTGTTAGAGTACTGTAGAGTTAGTCACTTAGTGTTATGAATTATGATCTTTTTTCAAGCACCATTTTACTGGTATTACTGTCTGTGGCATTACTCTATTACAGTGGCGTAGCCAGGATCGTCTCAAGGGGGGGGGGGGGGGGTTCCAATTTTTACTTCTCACTCTCAGTCATCAGCTGACTAAAAATAGAAACTAGATCTAGGCCCCTAGTTAAAATTTTTATAAGGGATAATTATTAATATACCCTAATGGTGGTTGTAATCACATTTAAATTTACCAGCCAAAGGTAATGGGTATTAGTATTATTAACTTTAAGTTTAGTTTAGGCCTAATATTTAAAGACTTATTCTTAAGCATGAATAGATTGTGACCGTGGTTCAAAAACACAAGGGATAATATTTAACTTTAAATCATCTTACATTAGTATTTAGGCCCTAATTAGTTAAATTAGGCAGCAGTTAAAGTAATTAGGGCCCTAATTACATCAATTAAAATCAGCCATTTGATGGTTGATACTATTTAGTTAAACATGTCTCTGAAATTCACAAACACAGTCAGTGGCTTAACCATTAATGTCCCATTCATTCTACCAAAACTCCACCCATGACGGCCCAATGTAAGGAGCATAACTCTGTATGATCAAGTGAATAGTTTCACAAAATATTTGTTTTTGTCTAAATGAAATTGAAAATTAAGATAAAAACTACTGCTTAATGTTGGGAATAAACCTGGCTTTCCAACAGTATTAAATAGAATATATTATATTCGGTACAAGTACAGAATAAAAATAAAAAATGTCGGAGAAAATTCAAAACAGGTCATTTTCGGTAGTCAACTTTATTTATTTTTGTCTAAACAACTATGCATCGAATTTAACAGTTAAATATCCATTTGGTTATGTTTAAGATATATAATTCACAAAATACATGCCTAGATACGTTTAGAGGCATTATTTTATTTTATTTTTAATATTAAATCTACTAAAAATAGGACAGATGAGTCTAAAATTTCGAGATAGAAAGAAACTATTATTTTTTATCTTTCAAAAGCGCCATTGACATTAGAAGACCGGAAAAGGATGCTGAAACTATTAGACTTCCTGTTTAGTTAAAAATTAGGATTTGTAGGCCAAATTTTAATGAAACAAATTTAATTTTTCTATGCGTATTGTAAGCGGGCGGCAGCGGGCGTTATGGGACATCAACGGTGTCGGGCGGCAGCGGGCGTTACGGGACATTAATGGTTAATGAGAGACAGATTTATGACGAATATTTTGATATTTTCTAATTCCAGATCATTCATGTACGTTCATTGGCAGTAATACAACTTGATTCCTGACCAAGATAATGTAATTAACCTGATCAAAATAGCTATACGATGTAGATTTTACATTTTGAGATTTGATGGAGGAAATAAACCTCGGAAGAGAATGGCTTAGAGAAAAAAAAAGAAATTTTACATTGTCACCACTATGTTTATAACTTAAACAGATTTTCCAGCAACTTTCACCTTTCACTGTACAACCTCATAATGTGCTTGAAAACTATTCACTAAGTTATAAACCAGTGGTATGGGAGATAACTACACAGGTGTGCCATATACGAATCCGAATGGTCACAGCTTTCAAACTAGTGGATGCATCCATGACCTTTCCAGTGTTTTCCAGGGACAATCACACCTGGCGTTCCCCTACCCAGTCACAGACTCACAGGCTGTCCACACGCTGGATGCTGGGAGACTCAGGTACCTGTTGCAGCTTTTATCAAACCTCATTCGCTCCTGCGCAATCATCCAACCTTTGGACCATCAATTCTCGTCTAACCTATGGTCTCACCTCCACAATACAAGCCTGCCACTGACCTCAACCAGCCTGCAGTCCCACAACACAAACCTGCCAGTGAGCTCAACTAGCCTGCGGTCCCACAACACAAACCTGCCAGTGAGCTCAACTAGCCTGCGGTTCCACAACACAAACCTGCCACTGACCTCAACTAGCCTGCGGTCCCACAACACAAACCTGCCAGTGAGCTCAACTAGCCTGCGGTCCCACAACACAAACCTGCCAGTGAGCTCAACTAGCCTGCGGTTCCACAACACAAACCTGCCACTGACCTCAACTAGCCTGCGGTCCCA